CAAAACATTTTGGACCACCCAATATGTATAAACAATTATTTTATATATTAATAATATAGATAATTGCAAACTAAAAGACTCTATAACTTGTCCAGGATAGTGTTTTTAGTCAAAAAATCTCTCCAAAATTTTATATAAACCATAAAAAATGGTCTATAGACCCATTAAGAAGTCTAGTATGCCGTGCACGACAACATCTATTAAGTGCTGGGACACGAACATTTTATTAAGAAAAAACACTTGGCGTGCCTTACTAAGTTTTATTGCAATTTCTTGTAGTCTCAGCGGGTTTTTAAAACAACAGCGTGGTTGTTAAAAGGTTTAACGATCTTTTAATTAAGGTATAAAAGTATAAATATTAATTCGCAGATTTTATGGGTGATGTTAGGCTTGTAAAATTAAGCATGAAGTTTTAGTGACTAAGTAATTATGTAATTTATAGCCAAAACGAAACTAATATATCACACGAAATTATATTACACCCCAAAAATTATGTGTTTTTAATAATATTAGGAATATAAAAAACCGATAAAATGTTATTAACAGTATTTCAAATTTTATTTTATATGGGACATTTCAGACTTTTCCCCCTAAAAAGGGTCATCTCGGGTTTTACTAATTTTTAAATGTCTATAATATAATATTAAAAATTTATTTTGGATTCCAAACTGTTTACAATATTTTTTTTATAAAAAATCAGGGGTGTTTTGCTCCACATCAAAAAGTCCTACTTTAACATTTGAATAAGCAATGCAGACGATTAATTAATTATTAAAGGGCGATTCCATGATTACTAACGGGACAAACAAAAACAAGACAAAATGTTTTATGAAAATTTGAAAGATGTGTTGTTCATATCATAATAATTTTAAAATGGTTATTATTACTTAATTTCATTGCTGAGGACTGGCATAAAATTAGAAACAACACATTTTAATAAAATATTTTGTTTTTTTTGCTTGTCCGGTTAGTAACCATTATTCAATTGCATTGCTTATTTAAATTAATTCATCATGGTGAATTCGAGGTTAACTCTAATTTAGTCTAATATTCTAAAAATAATACAAAACGTATATGGGTGATTCTACAAAAGTTGGACAACTTGATGTCATCAGTCAATAGAGTAGGTATTTTAATATTTTTTTAAAATATTTTAGTATATTACAAAAGATCCAGGTTTTTTTTAACTTGTCCACCCAATTTTAATGTATTTTTTCAAAAGCACGTCTGTAGAAAAACATAATAAATATTCAAAACATCAGTACCTTGGCGTATCACAACTTCTGAATCAAATATTTGAGTGATTTTATTTTAAAGTATAATCAATTTATCTTAAATTTTTCAATTTAACTAAAAACTATAAAACATTAAATAATGTATTCTTCATATTTTATCATAGATTCGAATAATAGCATTTTTTAAAAAATTGATAATCTTTGTACTCACTTTTACCAGTCAATTTTATGTCCAATGTTAAAATTCAAAATTCCTGCGTAATATTGAAGTTTAAACGTCAAGTCCTCGTTTTAATTTTAACTCAAGTGTTGGTAAAAAATTACCTACAGAGCCCGCCCTTTGCACGACATTTATCTTGAAAACAATGCAAGCGGCGAAGTTGTGGTGAATGCACGTATAGTTCCAGTCAAAATTTCAGTACTGTAGTGAGTAGTTATTTTCTTACAATATGCTCAAAGTTGTAATAAATCTTATATTTTCCAATAAATGTATTTAATTAGTACCCTGGTATACTCGTCACTTCCCTTGCATATGCATTTTTTTGTGCACAAAGATCTAAATTTATAACGCAAGAAATAAATATTTTGTATTTTGTATTCATGCAAATCAGACAAATATTTTAAATTTTGAAAGCTGCTGAATTTTCGCTAAAATTTTATTTCGTTAAAACATGATTTTTGAGGAGAAAAAGTATTAATGTGTATAATTTAATTTGATTCAACCCATAACTACATACCAATGATCATCAATTGGTATTTGATTAAAAAAATATATATAAATTCTTATACTATATATAAATTATTATACTATACAGGGATGGTAATGTGCTCAGGCCGTTTAATAAATAAAGACAAATGCATTATGAGACGTGGGAGTGGTGGAGTGACGTAAGAGTAGTGGGGCAAGCCAGACCGCGCCGCGCGGCTACGATCATCGCCCGCAGTGTTGCCAATGTACGTGGAAATCCACGCATTGTGTGGAATTTATTTTGTTGTGTGTAATTTGTGTGTAATACATAAATGTGTGGAATTTGCGAGTAAACTTTATCTTTAAATTAACAATGCTTATAACAAGCATTTAAATAGATATATTTGCAAATGCGCATTTTAGTTATTTAGTTATATGGACGAATTTCTGTGCAGATTTCTATATATACAGCAAATTAAAAAAATCTGGTGTTTTTGGAAACTTGCAAGCGTAAGTTATCGAGTACTTAACTTAAAACCTGTTATAACAATAGACTTTTTGACAAAGTAAGTAATCTAGTAAGTTTTTGAAAACGTCTTTAAGTAATCACCAGTAATTACCGCAGAAAGAGTTTTTGTGGTGATTCACCTCAGAAACTCTTTCTGCGGTAATCACCAAAGAAACCTAACAAAACCAAAATCCCAAATGTGTGGAATAGTTGGCAAAATTGTGGAATTTTGACAGATTCTGTGTGTAAATTATGTCAACACCATTGGCAACACTGATCGCCCGACCGCAGACAAGAGAATGTGTTGTAAGTAAGCGGTAGTACGTTTGTTATAAATTAGGAAATATTCTCTAATAAAAATGGTTTACACCCTTGAATTCAAGAAAAGATTCAATTTATAACGTGGCATTTAAATGGGATCTCAGATCGAGAAATTCAAAGATTATTTCCAAATATGTTCCCAAATAGACCCTTACCAGCAAGGGCAACAATTCAAAATGTTTTAAATAATTTTTTAACATTCGGCAGTGTTAATAGGGTTCATAATTAATACATTAAGGAATATCAGACCTGAGATGCTGTCAAATGTACGACAAAATTTTTATAATAGGTTAACCTATTGTACAGCAGCATTTGGGGGCCTATTTGAACATTTACTTTGATTTATTTATTTTTTATTTAAATATTTTAGAACACCATTTTTGTTTAAACATTTACTTTATTTATTTTTTTATTTAAATATTTTAGAATACAATTTTTGTTTAAACATTTACTTTAATTTATTTATTTAAAAATTTTAGAATACCATTTTTGTTTAAGAATATTTGTTTTTTTATTACAAGAATACTATGGTTTATTTTCCACATTTTCGAAAAAAAATCAATAAGTATTCGTTTTTGTAAACAAAATCATAGTTAAATTTTAAAGGAAATTTAAAATTCCTCCGTCCGCACTCCAACGTGGACCGAATATTACTAAAATTATCGAGTCACTCGATTACGAAATTTGCGTCAAGGTTATCTAGTAGTGGGAATGTAAAGCAGTTAGAGGAGGGGAAGTAAAACATTGGCGGACGTTTAATTGTTTTGATTTAATCGTTTTAAAATCTTGTACTGCACGCTTATGGCCGAGGGGAAATAAGAATTTTGTTATCCTATTCGTTCAACAATGGTTGTTTGTCTCTCTTATTTATACGTTTATCTCACTTATTCGTACGTTTTATATAGCATGCATCTTTGTTTATTAAACGGCCTAAAAGCCCATTACCATCCCTGTATATAAATTATTATACTATAGTATAAGAATTTCAATGTTTCCATATCTTAAAAACAATAGCTGATTAACCCGTAACCGGTACTGTACGACTTTCAGGTCATAAACGGTACTAAGGGGTCTGAGAGACACCTGCCTTTTATAATTATAATTTATATTATTTTTTTTATCTGAGGCTTTGGGGATACTAGGAAATATATATAAAGTTAGAATATCACCAAAAATAATACCTGAATAAAAGAAAAATTTAAGCAAATAGGTTTTAATCAAAACATGTACAAAAAGTGCAGAAGTGCAAACTTTGTGATTAAACTATAAAAAATATTAAACCAAACAAAATAAAACAATCTTTATTTCGAAGAATATACCTTAAAAAATAACATAAACAAAAAAAATTTAAAAATATCTTTTTTTAACAGCAAAAATAACTGCTTCAAACTATAGCTAATTTTTACAATTATTTTTTCCATGGTAACTTTTTTATTTTTTTTTCAAATTCTTAAAAAATTTCAAATTCTTCACTATCTGACCCTATAAAATTATTTTTTATAGACTCTTCACAGACAAGTCCTGAATCGCTGCTGTGATTATCTTCAACGACATAATCACTATAATGGTTATGTAGTATACTACAGTCATCTATATCACTTTTATCGCTGTAGATTTCATAAAACCGCTACATTACAGTTTCCTTAAAGCCTTTTATATCACTTTGGACACTTTTAGAAGGCCCTTGCTGCGAATCCATAACGAATTAATTGTTTTATAAAAATTACGTAAACGGTACGCAGTGGTCTACTAGACACCTCAACACTTTGACTTGTAATAATTTGTCCGTTTGACAATCCAACTTGTTCAAAGTCTGAGAGCATATTGATAACTGCTCAACTTAAAAGTATTGGAAGCGACAGATTTTTAAAATAAAAGGTGAGGGTGGGACAGGGCTTTGTTCGTTGATGAGTGTCTCCCAGACACCACAGTACCGGTTACGGGTTAAGTAAAATTATAATTTTTATTTTAATTTTTGAATTCAGAGCACCCAAATTACCCTAATGGCTGTGGAGTCCACAGTGTGGACCAGTTTTTTAAATGTTTATCAAGCTATTTTGTTAATTTAAACCAAACTTCCACCTAATTTACCTTACAATTTTCTATGTAGGTAATTTTTTCTTTAACTTATTATTTTTACATTATATCAATAATTTAATGTCGTTAGTTAGTTGGGTAAGCATTTAATTATGTTAATTTGTACGTGTTTTATGTTAAATTGTATAAAATTAATTAATTTTGTACCCACCTTCTTTCACTCTTCGTATCCTCCTCGGGAAAGAATCCATCAAAAACAACATAATTGTTCATTTGTTTAATGGGCGAATTTAGATGGTAATGTTTCCTAAGAAAACCTAAAAATTTATCACTAGGCCGATCTATTGCAATTTTTACTGGCTCAATTTGTTCCTCCTAAAAAAAAGGTTTTGTTATTAGTTAATGTCACGACGCGTCGTTTGGTTACATTTTTCATGCGTTAATTTTAACCCATAACATAGCTTTATATTTATTAAAATTAAAACAAGAGATTTTTTTATAAGAAAACCCATATTTAATGCTTTTTATTTTGTAGTTTATTTGTATGGCCATTTTAATTACCTAAATTATTGTATAAAAATCTGCAACCTCGCCTTTTATACACACAAATTAAATTATCAGAACGCAAAATTTTCCGAGTGGATTGATACTAACACGTACAGACTTTTCGTGCGCGCATTTTATTTATATCAGAATCGCATGATACGTATTGCAGGAATAATATTCCGAGGAAAAAACATCATAGAAAATTATGTTACATAACAAGAAACAGAAAATTTAGGTTATTGTGTCATCGCGTAAAAGTAACTTTGTGGAATATTTTATCAATGAATTAAATTTAATGGCATCGTGTAGGTGCCTTTTACTTAAAATTATTAATGGTATTTTAAATCTAGAAATCTAAATTAGGTTCACAAATTTATGAAGTAAAATTAAATGTGGAACCAAAATGTATTAATTCTATTCAAGTTTTAAGATATTTTTATTTATTGCCTTAATGTTCATACCCATGTCTTACGTTTTTTAATACTGTTTGTTTTTATATTCTTATTTTTAAAATAATATTAATATACCTAGTTAACAAATTAGTAAGTTTTTAAGATGTTTTTAATTTACCCGTAAAAAAAGCATTTTTTGTAACACAAGTAGTTCCTACAAATATTATTTAATTTTATTTAATATTTAATTAAATTTTATGACCAAAATAAGAAATTACGCGTCCTATTAATTTTCATTTTTGGTGCATTTTAGGAAAAAATTTGTTCGATAATCAGTATACTTAAATTTGATAATCGGCCTAAACCAGTCCCCGGCACTTTTTCATTATTTTAATGTACTACATTAAATCTTAATAGTATTGTTTTATGTTGTAGTACAATAGTTTGTATTTTATATGTAATTTAAAAAAGTGCTCAAGGTCATATTTCCTGTCAGGCGAATTTTACATTTAAATATTTTAACTTAATAAAGGGCCTAAAAGTATTTAAAATTTTATTTATTCTATTTTTTTGTATTCTACATGTACAGGGTGTCCCTCAATTTGGGGAAATGAGAATACACGCCAAAACAAAAAAGTTTTTCCTCTATTATTTTTGCATTAGACCTACTGTTTTTTAATAAAAAAAATTATGAAATTTTTTTGACAAAACCAGAAAGCTACTGGATGTCACTGACCTATCCTATATAGAAGAAAAGAAACTAAATATATTGAATTTGTCTACGTTTGAAATTAACGCGGAAAACGAATAGGCCGCGTAAAGATGGGTATTCATGTTTGTGATTGGTGGAGAGAAACGTCATGTTGACAGTTGCTTCATTGTCGTGGAATGTGATGTGTTCAGGCTTATAGTTGATACACTTTGTCATTTACGTGTGTGGAAATTAGGGATGTAAACGTAAGTAAATAATTCTGTTTTTTGTAATAAACTTTCAAGGGCAAAGGAATAATTCGTAGCACAACACAGTAAGTAGAGAGTACCTTACGGTCAAGGAAGTGTTAAGTGATATGTGGCCTTTCCGGGCGGTCTAACCACCTGTCATTTGGACACGAGACAAACAATAGAGGATAACCAAGGGAGGAAAGGCCCTCTGCAAAATCCGATAAGTAACCATAACCATCGCTTAAACACTAGAAAAAAAAACAAAAAATAAAGTGCATCAGTAACATCAGTAAGGCAATAGTATCCAAACAACAAAAAAACAACAAAAATAACAATAAAACCAAAACAAAACCGCCCCCTACCGCGGGCTATTCACAAGGAAAGCTAAGTAGGACAATAAATCTGTCAATAACAAACGTGTAAACCTATGAATTTAAAAGGACGACCCCAACAAATTAAAGTGTTTAAACTAAACGAGACCATAAATAAACATTTGACACCACGAACTTACAATAAATTAAGAAAACATAAACACAGAAAAAAACACACCAACCGAATTCCAAGAGATTTCGTAATCACATTAGAATATACAGTTTAAGTAAAAAAAATACCTCCCTAGGAACGTACAGACCCTAGGTCGAAGACGCAATAAACGAATTAATCAGTCGTTATGAACACATAACTGGCAAAAACGGACAAGTCTATGCGTACTTAAACGACTTGCTCCTAGGCAAAGCCATTACTAAACGGGTAAGGGTGGACCAACTAAAATACTGTACCCGTAGGCACCGGAACAACATACTACAAGCCACCCTAAAACTAGACCTTCTAGACAAAAAAGTCGGGTGACCACGCTTCACGTTTCATGACACGTTAGCACTGAATATTCACTTCTCACAAATTAACAACAAAAGTTGGGAGCAACTAAGCACCAACAAGACTAAGATAAGGAAAACAACTACACCAAGTGCAGGAAAACAACTATACCAAGTGCAGGAACAATCCGACTTGGACACGGACCCAGACAATTGTCAAGACGTAGACCACGACTAGTAAGTTAGGCCCCTGCAGCGAACTCCCCAACTTCAAACAGTAATCCCAAATGTTTGGAGTAATACAAACTGCCCGGTCTAGAGGGATACCGCGTCGTACGCAGATTTGAGTCGGCATAATTGTCCCCTAAACACCAAAATGTCTATCCCTCCCGTCCTACTTCCTTTATTCCTACTGGGCGTATAACAACGGCCCAGCGAATCCGGGAAAGGCTATTCAAACTATTGGCATTTCGCTCTCGAGCCCCAAATAGGGTATGATGGATACCCTAGGATAACTACTAAATGGCATCGTATGAAGACTTTTCATTGGAAAGTCGACCAACACCTACGACACCTTCCAAAAACGTCCGTTACCCATGGACCACCCTGTATAACCTCATGAGGTACACCATTGATTTCTTGTCAAAATAATTTAATTGACTAAGTATCCCTATTTACCCCAGCCACTTAAGAAAAACCATGCTACCACGTACTCTATAAAATTTTATTACTTTTTTTCGGTCATTGATTAAGATAATGCATTGACTGAATAGAAAATAGGTTTATTTGTTAAACGCAAACAGTTGATTTGCAAGAATGTGTTGATAGCTAGAAATAGGTAGTAATAGACACATGACTAGAATCAATCACAATCTAAGTCATGGCTCAAATATATTATAGCGGATCTTGATAATTCGAGCAAATTATCCGCATGCCACAATTACCTGCCGAGTAATTTATTTACGATTGCAATTATCGCAAGCAATTAGTCGGAAAACGGAAGAACCCAGCGAATTGTGGATTTTAATACAACAATTAAATTAATTATTTAATAAAAATTAAATAAATCATAACTACAACAATAACAAATTATGTTAATTATAGTTTAATAAAATCATAGGAATTTTGTGTATAATTTATAAGTGGGCTGAGAAGAATTCTGTCATAAAAGTAAAAAAAAACATGTTTTCATTATAATATCTCTTTTAAAGTACCTACATACGAGGTGTGTTCAGAAAATAACGGGAATTGTTATATTTCGCGGGTTCGGAGGGTCCGGTTGTCATAAAATTTTCTTTATTATGTTGGTATACATGCCCCCGAAGTATGATAAAAACTTTAGCTGTTTTTATTGTTTACTTTGTCTGTGGCAGCCGCTAAGGTTCGACGTGTTTTAGGAGCTCGGCGATTTTTCGTTCGTTAAAAGAAATGGATCAAAAAAATTGTATCCAATTTTGCTTAAAAAATGAAATAAATTCTGTGAAATTTTAACAAAGGTCTATAGTGAGTCTGCTATAAGTAAAACAAGAGTTTACAAGTGGTATTAGAGTTTCCAAGATGGCCGTGAAAACGTTGAAGATGACGAACGCCCCGAACGCACAAGCACATTAACAACCGATAAAAACATGGAAAAAGTGGAAGAAATGGTTATAAACCAACAGAGAAGTCGCTGATGATGTTGGTATATCGATTGGCTCATCCCATAAAATTTTTTCGAATGTTTTTGGGTATGAAACGCGTGGCAGCAAAATTTGTTCTAAAATTGTTAAATTTTGAACAAAATTTTTGGCCAAAAACAATACTGTAATGATGCCCCAGCCTCCATATTCGCCAGACATGCCTCTGTCTGACAAAAATTCCCGATATTTTCTGAACACACCTCGTATTATGTTTTCATGTCTACATTAACGCATTACCCATATACCCATATAAAATGGGCATACAAAATATGTAAAATTTCAAGTTAATGCAAATCATTTTCTTTATGATTACCTATAATGTTTTAAAAAGTATAATGAAAAATATCGTTTATTACACTCCTAGTAATAGTATATTCTGTATCAAGTTTGATAAACGCCATTTTAGACACGAATTTAATTCAGGCACTAGCGAGCTTGCGAGCAAGTGTTTAATTAAATAAGTGTCTAGAAAAGTTTTTAAACGAGTTGCATACTTTACTTTTTCTATGAAATACTTATTATTATTATCAAAAAATAGGACTCGACCGATGGCTGAATTTTGCCGATGGGCCGATGCCTATGCCGATGGCCATCAATAAAATAAAATCTTAAAAAAAATATTTATTTTTTAAAGCATTAACAGAATTTTTTTACAAACATAAAGAAGGAAAAATGAAATAAAATTATGATGCCGATGCCGATACCGATTAGATGCCATCGGTCGAGTCCTATCAAAAAATTATTTAAATTAAATATTTGTAGGTATAGAGCGACATCTATAAAACAATAGAGTAACCAACTTGGAAATCTTAAATGTCATACCCCGAAAATGGAGGGTCCATTTTAATCCAATATAGAAGCAGTTTTTTACAGTGAAAGTAAATAAAAAGTTGCATTAGCACTCCACGGTGGAGTCTCCATCCAAAATTGTTAAATCTAGTTTACTGCCGGCGAAATTAAGAGGTCAGTACAATTTTCATATAAACTTATTAAATATTGGCGTTGAGAAACTATTTAATACTTTAGTATTTTTGTATTGAGATAATACAATAATTTTTACATTTAGTATTATTTTACATGATGTGCACTTTATTTTAACGACTGTATGACATTTGACAGCTGTCAACTAACTTAAAACTAACTTCAGCTCGTGACTAAAAGGCCATAAAGCCACAACCTTGTGTATTTAAAAGGTCACTTAGTGTCATACAAAAATGTACGATAATGGGCGTTTTAAAGGTGGGAGTAGATAAAAGTGTATATTATTGTGTATGTGTATTATTACATCAATCGATTCATAAAACTTACCTCTAGCATATTTTCATAAAGTATTTTGCCCAATCCTAAACGCTGTCTTGATTCGTGCACATAAAAATCCAATATACAGAGTGGAGTAACCTGGAAATGATTCCCTTCTCTGTCAAAAAGATACAGGGTCTTCTTACCCACTTTGAGCATTCCCGAAATCGCTCCTTTGCCACTGAAAATAAACAATTTTCTATTATAATTTAATCGAAAAACAAATTATAACATTCTTATCGCAATTTTCCACACGTTTTGTAAAACCGTATGTGGGCGTGAGATAAAAATATAAAATTTATTTTCAACAACATAAAAAATTAGTCCCCATTAAAATTTATGTGTTGAATAAAGTGTACGTAATTATAATAATATTCATATTTGATAAAAAAGCAGCTTTTGGCATTTGCATGCAGGCGTTTGCATTTAATTTGCTAGATTTTTCACGAACGATTTTGAATAAATTTAAATACAAGCGATTTAGAATTTTTATGTTTAATTAAATAAATCTATGAGATAATTCATAATATACAGTATTTCTCCGGATTATGTTTACAAGAGGGAAAACATATTTTTGGTTTTTAGAAGAAAGTCATTGGTAACAAAAAGTTTTAATCGTCAAAAAAATAACATTTACATATTTTTTTTTAGATTTTATATACAGGGTGTTTAAAATTACTTGAATAGATTTTGGTTTTTAAACACCCTGTAGTTAAAATCGCAAATTTTATTACCTGAATGTTATTTTTTTGACAATTAAAACATTTTATCCAGATTTTATTTATTTATTTTTGAAAATCATTTAATTATATAGGTACTTATTAAAGTAGATAAATTATAGTATTACACTCGAGATTATGCGCATGAACTCGTATAATAATATTAAATGTTATAGTTTTGACAAAATCCTTTTGTAGCCAAGTAGCCAAAAATCATTTAAGATAATTAATGACTATTATTACATTACTCGGTACTAGTAAACAAACGCCGCCAATTTAAAAATTTTACAAAAATCCAATTAAAAGATATAAAAATTCCAAATGGTACCATATTCAGGGTTGGAACGAATTAATTCATATGAATTAAGTCAGTGATTTAATTCGCGAATTAATTCAAATGACTTTTTTTAAAAACTTACGAATTAATTCATTTTTTTTTACAGTGGGAACAAATTGTATTATCAACATCAATATACAGTGTGGCTCATTTTTTAAACAAAATCTAACCACGGCACTGGATTCACCACCCCTCAAAACGACCCTATACTAAATTTTATTAAAACTTTAAGTAGAAAAATGCACAATAATAACTACAAAAATTTATTCTATCAAGTTATATATGAAAAAATCATTTAAATAAAATTAAACCAAGAGTAACAAGGTAGTTTACTTTTTTTTTTTTCATGGATAACTCGAGAGAATAAATTTTTGTAGTTTTTCAATAAATAAACAAACCCGCTTAAAATCGCACAATAAATAAAGATTTTACAAATATATTGATTTAAGTGAATTAATTAAAAAAAAGTCTGATTTAATTCATAAACTCGGACTTTTTGACTTTTTCATAAAAGTCATGACTTATTCCAACCCTGGACATATTTTGGTGTAATATTAAAATTATCAATAAAACAGATAAACCAAAACTAATATTGGTAACTTTTTTTAGGTTTTTTGAAGATTTTATATATATTTTATTAATTTAATTTATTGATTAATTCAATTTCGAAATTCGCATTAATCGGTGGATAAGCCCAAATTTGCGGGGCCCTACGGATTGAGGTAAAAACTCAATTATTGTGTGTTTGTTTTTTTATTTTATTTTTCTTAAAAACGGTAAAATTTAAAACAAAAAATGACTATATATGAATTATGTAATTGGTCTAGAACGAAACATTCAAAAAGTATGACTAATTAAAAACGTGTTTATTTTGATAAACCTACAAAATTTATATCAACGTTTTTTTTTCTATGTCTATCGTAGGAAAATAGTTTATATAAATTTTGTTGTTTTTTTTTAAGATACTCGACTTTTCCAGTTAAAATAAGTATCTATTTTTTATTCAACACTCATTTTATTTCTTAACTTTCACCGGTGCACATGTGCACATAAGGCCGAATGTCTACATTATCACTTATTTTGTTAATATTTTTGAATAATAAAGGTTTTTTTCCACATTTTATTCGGTTTCTGAGCAAAACCGGCGAAGTACAAAACATTTTTTGAAATTTTGGCCTTAATATAAAATTTTCGAAAACGAGAGTATGTCTTATAAATGAAGTACCACAAAGCCCACAAAACTCAAGTTTGCTTTTTCTTTTATCTGCAAAGGCCAGGAAACCGAGAGTTTTTCCATTTTCCCAACATTTTATTAAAGTGGATATAGCCGGTTTTGCACGGATAGTTACTATGCTCGTCCTATGGTTCCAAATGTTAACAAACAAACAAAAGTTTTTAACATGGATTATAAAGCACCAGGTTTGTACTTTAATATGCAATAATTGTTAACATGTTAACAAACCAATTGTACGCAGAACAATTGAAATATAAATTTTATAAAATAGTATTTTTGATTAAAAAAAAAATTAAAAAAATTACTTTAGCTAGAGTTATAAGAAAGTACCCACGTGTACACCGACATTTATTTTCGGTTTGGATAACATATTTTATGACTAATTAAAAAATAAATTACTCGTCCCCACGTTTCCCCCTTTCATTTATAGAGCTATTATTTTAAGGGAGTCGTAGTTACTTCGTTGGAAAATTAATGAACATCATGAGAATATCTATTACTGGATGTACCAGCAAACATCCACCAAATTCATCATACTCCTTTTTATATCTAACAACTTAAAATTACAAGGTAAATTTCAAAAAATTATTTCGTATTATGCCTTAAAAATTTTTACCTAAAATATTTTTACAATATTACAAGTATTTACCTCCATTCTAATATAAATTAATAATAAAATATGATTATAAAACATTCTAATTAAATTAGCGTTTGAATGTGTTTAGAAACATGAACGTCAAGAAAGAAGAGCTATTTAATGTGTTCAAAAATAAAGAGTTTTTAAGTTATAGTCATTTAAGTGTTGGTGAACTTTTTGAGCAATATACAAAACAAATAAAAAAAATAGTCAAATTTTTTGTTACAAAGCTGTTGGCGAAATGGCGTGAGTGTAATTACATGTACAACCGTTTTATCAACAAACACATGAATTGACTTATATTAACACCACGAGGTAGACCAAGAAAAATATTTGAGAAGAATTCTCAGCGCAGTAAACAAAGAGAATTGCAACCAACGGTATCAAATTTCAGTCCAGAAGAACTGTGCTTAGCTGCAGAAACAAGCTTGGTAAAATCAGGAAAGAGAAATGCAAGTTATGAAAGTGGCTATTGAAACTTCGCCCAAAGGACTAAAAAAAATATAGGTGGTAAATGATGCACATTCTGCGACTGTAAGGCCTTACAACCCTGAAGAAGCTTTAGGTCTTATGGTGGATCTTGGGTTAACGAAAGAAGATTACACCACTATGCGAATTGAAGCAAAAGAAAGAGGTGCCGATATTTATCCCTCATATCATCTAATAGCAGAGGAAAAAAAGAAGTGTTATCCTGCAAACATCAAAGTAACTGAAAACGAAGCCGAGGTTCTGCTACTTGATTTGCTTATTCATATACGTTTGGCACAAGTACAGGCGGTGTAATTTTGAAGAATACGTCGGAGAACTTTGACACCATCGAAGTCTACTACAAATGGGGCCTGGATGGCAGCGGTGGACGCAGTATATACAAACAAAATTTCGCAAGTAATTTGGAATATGCTGATTTCAACATAATATGTACGATTGTGCCTCTATAAACAGGGTTGGATGAATTTGTCCAAGTGGACATAATTGGACGATTTTGTCCAAGTATGTCCGTCCGGACATAATCAATTGTTTTGGACAAAATCGGACAAAATCAATTAACCTTATTATAATAATTATAATTTATGTTTTATTGTTGTTTAAGTTGTTGTTGACACCCTAATATAATTATTATATTAGGGTGTCAACAACAACTTAAACAAAAATAAAACATAAACAACTTGAACATTTTGGTGCTTGACTAGCCATTGTTATATTATTTATATTTAACAACTACATAACATACAAGATACATGAAGTTTAAAAAACAGAGAGACCCAAGACTACAGCACAAGCAAAAGGCAGATTTTCTCTGCTCTGTCTCTGCACTTGTTTTCAAACGGTTAATAATAATAAGAATTAGGAATAAATAATAAGCGATAAGCGACTTGAAACCTGTCTATTTTTATACCTTGATTCTTGTATTACAACAAAATAAATGAAACCAATAATATTATAATATATTATATTATGTCATAAACAAAAAATAAATAAAAAATATATTCTGTAGTAAAATACATATAATACCTACATATAATAAGTAGTAGGTACCTATTATACCATAATTATAATAGTGGTACGTAATAGAAAATAAAACGTTGTGGCACTGTCACTATGGCAGCAGTAAAATGTTAAATAAAAAAATATTAAATCATTCATGATTGTAGTAAAATGTTAAATAAAAAAATAATAAATCATTCATTATTGTAGAAGTAAATTGCATTATTAATAAAAATAATCATTTTCAGTAAGTTTCAGGTTCAGGCGGAGGTTCCTTGTCCTTTATCCTCATGTTCAACATTTTATATGCCATGACCAATTTTGATGCTTTTTCTACTCCAAGCCTGTTCCTCAACTTACTTTGTATGTAACTGAAGTTGGAAAATATTCGCTCAATACTTGCGGATGAAGCTATGCATCTAAATAAGTGCAGGGCAAATTCGCAGAACTTTTTATTGGTCACATTTTTTGAAACCGCTTTCCACCACTCTATAGATCTATGGGGGTAAGGGTTTCTATAACACTTTTAACAAAAAAAGTCTCGGGAAACGGCTGGGATTTTAGATTAAACTGAAGTAATAAAGGTAAAAAATCTTCATCTACATTTTCACGTATCCACTTTCTCGCAGTTTCTTGCAAATCAGCATCTAAATTATCTTACTCCTCAATATATTTGGGATTTAGCATAAAAGCAATTATATGTGCTGAAGTGATGCAATCTTTGAATCTTTTATTTATAAGACTTTCGTATGGATATAGTAAGTATAGTATATAGTAAGCTCCACCTTAAATTTCGCGAAAATTGTTAAATATTTTGAACTGTGACTACAATTATGCATTAAATCGTTTAAAAATTTGCAGGGAACTGTATTCATTTTTTGCCTCAAAGCATTATTTATTATTTAAGGTTTTGGTTAACGTTGAAGTAGGTAGTACTAGAAACTAGGAATACTGCCTAACTATGGAGAAAGGCAGTAACTGCTAAACAAGAAATCTGTGGAAAATTGGCATAAACTAAATTTTTATAAAAAGGAGTAAATATTTAATTGATTTATTAAACGTATGAGATAGTTTACTGCATTTCTTAGTTGAATTAAGATACAAAATGTCCATAGCTTTATCATGGCACAAGAAAACGCATTAAGAATTTTTTTGTAGTTACTGCCTTTCTCCATAGTAGGGCAGAATAGGTACTTAATGGTACCTCTCTGTTTATCTTTATTTTCCATCCTTTATGTAGGTACTTTACATCTTACATTACGAAACAAACACAAATCGACTACATTCTAACCTCAAATAAAATAAATAACAACTATTTTCTGCAATTTTCAATTTATACAACACAAAATACAGATGTACATTTTGGTTGCCTAAACATGGCTTAGTAAGCCAATAAATTTAATAAAATAGAATAAAATTTGATTTTTTCCAATATTGTCCGAGTTTGTCCGTTTTTGTCCAATTTTGACCATGTCATGGACGAAATCACAACCCTGTATATAAAGGTCTTTTAAACGTACCTATCACAGAATTATATTTTCTTGATAAATTAAATTTAATAATACAAATTGCTGTTAATATAGCGCACAATTAATTAATAATATACTGAGTAACAAAAAACTGAAAATGGCTATAAATCAAGTCTTCCCAATACAAAAGAACCCCACATTTAGATGCAACATTGTCACATACTTAGGTACTAAGACTAGACATGTGTCGAATTTCTTCAAAAAACATAATATTTCTATTGCATTTAAAACCAACAACAATTTGAGTCCACCAACTACTGTCGGTGCAGTCGGTGGACATGTCCAAAAACTTACATAGGCCAAACTGGCAGGTATTTTAAAACCAGAATTAATGAACATAGAAAATCTTTTATAAATCAAAAAACAGATTTAACTTATGCCAACCATTTCATTCAAGAAAACAATTCATTTAACAATTAATTTTACATGTTGCAGATGAAGTTACGAAGTTTAATTTACCTACTTGAATCATTAGAAATAAATAAATTAAAAAAATCTGATAGTATCCTCAATGATCAAATAATTCCACTCTGTTAAATTTATTCTAACATTATATAAATTTCCAGAAAATTGGTTTATTACAACTGTTGTTAAATTATAATTCGACAGGTAAAATTGTCATACTGTACTAAAATTTGTTAAAAAAACCCATTACCTGCAATAACTGGGTTATATAAGTTTGTTATTAGAAAAAGTTTGAAATCATTTCTGAAGAAGCTACTGTGTTAGCGAAACAATTGTCAAAATAAAATGAAAAAAATTCGTTAAACTCAAAAAACAGTGTTTGTTTTTATCTACTTACATTAAACTTTGTTATTGTATCCAATATGTTATAAGATAATTGCTTATATTGGGTGAGTTTCTTAAAATGTTACAAGGGGATATTTCGAAAACTGTTAAAAATTTGTTTGTAAAATTTTGGTAAACTAATAGAGAGTCGGGGGACATATTTAAACATATTTTTGAAATCAACCCCCTATCCCTTTTTAAGGGGCGGGGCGTAACTTTGGATTTTATAAAAATTTCTCAGACATGATAGACGATAAATTAGTTGAAACATTTTTTAGTATCTGTGGGTAAAAGGCATAAGGGGATAAGTCAAAAAAGGCAATTTTTCAGTAGAGCCTTAAACGTATTCGCATTAATTCAGGAAACATATTTATGGTTAGCGGGTATACCCTTTTGTTACCACATGCCATATGCTAACAAAAGCGTATACCCGCTAAACATAAATATATTTCCTGAATTAATGCGATCACGTTAAAGGCTCTATTAAATTCCTTTTTTTGACTTATCCCCTTATGCCTTTTACCCACAGGTATATTATAATCCAATAAGACATAATAACCAAAAGCGCAAATCAAATTTTTTTTACACACATACCTACCTAGTTTTTTTCGTAGATTCGATTTTGAAAAAAAAGTACATTAAAAATCCAAAGTTACCCCCAGAGGTAGGTGTCAAAAATATTTTTAAATATGTCCCAAAACCTTCTTTAATAGTTTACCAAAATTTTACAAAAAGATTTTAAACCCTTTTTGAAATATCATCCCCTTGTAACACTTTAAAAAAACTCACCCGGTATATCGCACGAATTAACGTAATTATAAGATTATAATAATAAAGGTATACCTACTTTTATTATTATAATCATAAATTACTTTCTTTAAAATAATTCTTAATGTGTTTTAAATTAATTGTTAACGTGTACACGTGATTAGGTAAATTAATGAGATCTTACTTGTTATGATCGGGATCGATCAATAAAAATAACTTGTGTTCAGAATTCCTGAGCCGATCAGCCGTGGTGATTGCTTTGGTAAGTCCTTGGGCAGCAGCTGAAGATTCTCCCAATGCATTTACGATTTCCGTCACCTTAGACACCGAGTCCCTGAAACGATAACACCTTGCATTATTTAGTGTTCTCGTGGATATAAGTTTTTATAATGAGGATACAACAGAGATATTTCTCTAGGATACAATTACCTACATCTGCATAGTTTAATTTATTATAAAATTAGTAGAAAAAATATAAAAAATATAATAGAAAGAAAAAAGAGGCACAACATTTTTTATTTTTTTCTTCTTAACACAAAATATCTTTAAATCCTATAAATTTGTATAGAAGTACATTTTTTTTACTATTTTTAAGAACTACTAATAGAAAAGATGTACATCTAAATAAATTTAAAAAAAAATGAGATCAAAAATTCTTTGCAATAATGTGTAACGTTTAGGCATCGATTACTTCTTCACTCAACGGTTTAGGACTTTACTCAACCCTATTTTACAATTTTTATTAATCTAAGAATGTAAGAGTTTGTTTAATGCTGCTTTTATGATATTCTGTGATAGGGGTCATCCACGCTTATTTAGGGGTTTTTGACCCCCTCTCCCCACTTTTTCCATCATAATTTTAAAAAAACTAATACATTCTGGCAAATAAATTTTTGATTTTTGGCATTACCTTTTTAACCACGCAAAAACTTTTCTTTAAACTATTATTATATTTTACTATATACGATACACAATAACTTGCGAATATACAAAATATTAAATTATTAACTATTCAATTTAATTAGCCCAAAAATCACAAAATTAAAATTTATAAAGAATAAATAAAATTGGAAAAATTAAGGTTAAAATCGTCTGACAGATGTCAGATTGGGAAAACTGAGGTTATAACTGTCTGGCAGATATAGGAATCTGATATCTAATGTTTAACAAAAAAAATTGGTCTTTTACATTTAGAAAAACATTATTGTGTGTTCGTCGTACCTAGATATAATAATAATTATAATAATAATTTATTAATCCATGGATTGCAATTGACATAGATAACATTCATATGTATAGGACAAGTCACAGAAATACAATACACTAACTACAAGTAAATATACTCGGAAATACCTACAAATTTATCCTAAAAACTTATTCAGTTCATAAGGACATTCCTTAATTAAAAAGTATTTTAGTTTTCTTTTAAAAACATTATAATTTTTTGTTTCTTTAATTTAATTTGGCAAATTGTTAAAAATTTTGATGCCAGAAAAATAGGGTGACTTTTTAAACAAAGAAGTTGTGTATCTAAAACATAATCTTGAGCCACTTCTTGTTGAATATGAGTAAAAATTTATATAGTTTGCAACTCGTTTTATAAACTTCTCTAGAGTAAAATTGCGTTTATAAAACTTATCAGATTATATACTATGATCTACTCCCACATTAACAAGCTTCTAGTCATGGGCTGAAATTAGCAACAGTGGCTTTCAGGGTATTTAGTCACTGGTTGAAGTTAGCTTTATTATAAAATTGAAAAAAGTTAGGTTAGAACTGTTTGATTTGTCATTTATTTAACATTTGTTTCTAAAATCTGAAAAATATTACTCGTCGTAGATAAAGTACCTAAAGTATATTAACTCGTTTTATAAACTTCCATTTTTATTGACAACTTAAAGCAGATTGCTTTACTCTATTTTTGTATAAATGTCGCTCTATACAAAAATTTAAATTAATAAATAATATACATTCTTTTTCAAACCTAATAATATTTGTCGTAAAAAAAGTATAGTATGCAACTCGTTTATAAACTTTTCTAGACATTCGTTCGCAAGCTTCGCTCGTACCTAATTAAAACTCGGGACTAAAATGACATTTATAAACCTTGTTACATATTAGTACCACCTTAGGTATGTTAAATCCATATATCTATCACACAGTGATAGATTGTTTAATCAATAGAATTTTTTAATATTATAATAATTTAATTTTAAAATTAGTAATGGATACTATATCTTTTAAATATTCAAGCATTGTATACCAATTAACTTGTTCTTTTGTTAATTTGATTTAATTTTTAGAGCACAAAGAACATAATGCATTGAACTTGATATCTCGCCCACACCGACTAACATAACTAACAGTATTCTTGTGATAATTGTTACGTGAAGCATGTAGTGTAGTGTTTTATAAAAATTCATAGCAATTTTCGCTGGCGTGAAACGGGAACAGGGCAAGCCTTGAAAATTTTCATTTCGAATTAATTAATCTGAAGAGGTTTCGCACACAGACACGTCATTTATGATTTATTTCACATTAGGTTCAAGATAACTAGTTCTTAATGCAGTATGTTTTCGGCTCTTAAACATGCTAGGGTCTATTTTCGGTATCGATATTCGATTACTTATACTTATACCTAGGTGTTCTTGAAATAATTATTAAGGGTGTGCCATTGAAAATATGATACAAAATTAAAAATTATTTTGTTTGTAAAAAGCTGTTTAATTTCAAGTATCCCCACATACACATTATATTAGGGTGTACGTTATTTCCCAGGTTGTTGTTTTACTTGGTATCATCTAAATTATTTGTTTAGTCTAAAAACAATTTGTAAAAAAAAATGAATGGCGTTTAAGCCTGCCTAAATGACAATTTAATTGATACCTATTTTTTACCTGAATAAATAAGAAAATCATTACATAGGTAGGTATCTAATATTTTTATTGTCCAAAGACTGAAACAGTAGGCAGAAATGCAAATGCAGATAGAGTAAAGAGAGACATGTTTTTATAATTCAGTTTTGTTACACATATTTTTTCATTAGATGAATAAAAACATCTTTACTCTAGCTGCATTTACTTTCCTATAGTAAACTTTTTGTACAAATTTCAGAAAGAATTAATTCATTAGTTGGGTATAAAAAAACTGTAAATTGCTATTTTTACTACCAAGTTGGTGGTACCAACCAATAGAGAGGTAAAAAAACGTTTTTTTTTTTCAGATGTGAAAACAAACATGAAAAAAAACTAAAAAAACGGTTTTTTTGTTTTTTTCAAAATAAAATTTTGAGTAAAATGTAGAATAGGTATATTACATTTTTCATAATTGAAAATTTTCACCAAGACTAAAAAAATCTGATTTCTTATTATTTGGTAGTTTCCACATTAAAAACCAATAGTAATGTAAAACTTCTACACTAATACAAAAAATTAAAGGATAAAAAATTGTTTTTGCGATTTTTCGGATAGCTGTATCTTTGTTAAAAATGGTCGTATTGGAGTCGTAAAAAAAGCAATTTGAAGCTTGAAGTTTTGAGATTTTTAGATGATAAACGTGCAACGCTCAATTCTAACGAATACCGTAATAAAAAAAATCGATTTTTTTGCTTTCTTTTTTGGTCCTGTTCTGACCACCAATGAATAAATGTTCTACAAGAATTTGCTATTGTTTTTTTTTGAAAAAAAATTTCCATATATGGAGTATACCTACTCTACATAAATTTGAAAAATCATGAAAAAAGTGCTTTTGGTAGCTTTTTGAAAAATCAAGCGCTGAATCAAAAATATTATATGTAGTTTTTTTTTAGGACCAAATCAAAACAAGCGCGGCCCTTATTGGTCCATTCGGTGGCGGTGGCCCGTGCATAGCGCGAGACTGTATTTACATTTACTAATTGTGATTTAGTGGCTAATTTTAGTCCATGGAAACATAAAAAATTAGGCAAATGGGACTAATCTTGAAAAAAACCTAAAATGTGAAATAAAACCATTTGAAAAAAACAATGAAAAAAAACCTGAAAAAAAAACAAAAAAACGGACCGTTTTTTTTCAAGTCGCATCTCTACCAACCAACCATTACCCTTTCTGGAATTTGTACAAAAAGTTTACTATAGGAAAGTATACAGGGTGTCCCAAAAGTCAACGATATCCTTTGAAGGACTAATAGGTCAGCTCATGACTAATCAGAATATCAATACATGACCTTAGTAAAAAATCATTAGTTTTTAAGATATTGGCATTTTTATGAATTTTGTAAAACTTGACACATAAAATCAGTTTTTCGAGTGCCACAACTACAACATTCTATATTCTTAGATTATATTTTATTTTGCGTAACCCTGAATGAGACTGCAATTAATTACAATTTAAAATTAAATTAATAGTAAAGCTGTAGCACTCGAAAAACTGATCTAAGGTGTCAAGTTTTACAAAATTTATAAAAATTACTATGTCTCAAAAACTAACGATTTTTTACCAAGGTCATATTTTGATTTTCTGCTTAGTCATGAGTTGGTGTATCAGTCCTCTAAAGGATATCGTTGACTTTTGGGACAGAAAATTGACTAAAAATATAGACGTTTAATTGCAATATTATTTTCTCCACAAAAATTCCACACAGGAGTCCAATCATGTTTTCGCTTATAAAACAAATTCACTTTAATTTTTGTAATAAATTTGTTACTTGGCTTATAATTATCCCGAAAGGTGCCTGATTTTATTATTTTTATTATTTTTATTTAAAATATTTCACTTCCTACCTACGTTAAGGTAGAAAACCGAGCAAATAAAAAATAAGCGTTAAACGGACCAAATAAAAAATAAGCGTTATTGCAAACTCAACTTTAAGTTTAAGTTTAAATTAGGATTCAAAAAAAATTTGAATATTTTATTAATGAAATGTGTGCAAAAATGCTTATGTATTGAGTACCTATAGGTAGGTATACCAACATTTTTCTAATAAACATAGGTACATATATGTATGTATATGCAAAATGAAAAAAAACATGGTTTTGCATGACGTTTTAATTGTTTATAGGTAAACCAGCATTTTAAATTTAAGAATATATATTAATATATTTAGGTATCTTATAAGATATTTCATTATATTATATAAGATATTTCATTAATTGTTTCCAAATACCAAAACACCCTGAATTAAACAAGTGTCCTTTTATTAAAATTAAATCAAAATACCCCCAAATAGGTATAAAGAAATAAATTAAATATCTTTATTATTTTAGGTCCTTAGATCCTTATAAGGATCGCGACCCGACATACCTAACTTTATTATTATAAGTAAGGACCAGAGGCGGATTATCCCTAAGGCAAACTAGGCACGTGCCTAGGGGCGCGAGGTTACAAGGGGGCGCGAGGTTTGATAAAAACGCAAGTTTTTATGAACACCGAGTAGGTATTTATTAAAGAAAGATTTACAACTTATTGGTTTGATTATTTAATCAGCACGCGCACGTGAGCTTGAAACGAAGAAAATAATTAACATAAAATTAAAATTGAGTATGAGTATAAGGAACGTATGGCAGGCCCCATCGCAATGCCTAGGAGGTCGAGGATGACAGTTTGGATGGTTATGCCACTCCCGGAGTTTTTTCGTCAGGCCGGGCCATACGCCAGATTAAGGCTAGTGGAGTACGGGACAAGAAGGGAAAACATTTTGGTTTTTGGGTGACATTGGACTGACCCAAAACTAAGTACTATCCGGAATCCCCCTTAACCAGGGATTTAGTAATGCCCCCATTTATATGGGGTTCATGAATGAGGTTTGGTTGGTTAGTACGCTGCTAGGAACTACCTTTGCTGGTCTTGTAGTCTGCTGAAATTCAGAAACTGTTGTGAGCAATTGTTTGCCCCACTGTGCGAAAACCGTTTCCTCAGTGTAGGGGTCGAGAACTATCGATGGATAGTTGTCTTCATTTTGTGGTAGAAATTGTATTTACGTTTTCTTTTTCTTTTCTAACCATTAGAAGTTACATTTATAATATTTATTCTATATAATTGCTCTTAACTTTGCTTTTTTTAATTCTCTAGCTAGCAGCATGCAATGCCTAAAATTTAGAAGTGTTTAGTGGTTTATGTTTAAGTTAGGCAAATATCGGAACTGGTTGTTTATTTTATTTTCGTTCGTTAAGTTTTAAACATTTAAATTTTTTGGGGCTGGCCTCTAAGTTTATGCTTATTTATGTTTTGTGACGGTCTCACCTAATGATTGAATAATTTACACTGTTACACTGTTTTCAGTAATAATGATTGATTATTGTTAGGTTTTTGTTGCGAATTTGCGTATTAGATCATGCGATTAATTGGTACTTATCAGATTTTTGCAGATGATGGCCCCTTCCACTCTAGGCTAGTTTGTTCCTTACATAAGGTGATTCATATTGGTCTAGGGTTAGATCTTCAGGTATGCTGTCATTTATCACTTAATTACCTCCGTGTCCGTATTCACTATATTCACCTGTTGGGGTTGCTTTATAATGCACTAATTTAATGTTTGACTTTGGGCAAGAGGTACACTGATTTTCGTTGTCCAAGTAGTAAATCTTTGCTCTAATTTCGACCATTATTTTCCTTAAACTACACTGTATATGAGCGATTTTTATGTTTCCTTAAAACTTATTATTCGGTACACTTAAGAGCGATCGAATTCGAGAGCACATTTACTCGACTGGCCGTCTGTATCGGTACTCCTAATTAACATAAAATTAAAATTAACATGTAAAAGATGTTGTAGAAGTTAATTCTATAGAATTGTATACAATATATATGACATATTTCATTCACGCCTAAGGGTAAGTACACGTGTCCTGGCATATAACTAATTATAAGCATACGCCAGGACACGTATACTTACCCTAATAATATTATAACTTCTTCGTGCAAAAATTACTAAACCGATTGTAATAAAACTTGGTATGTAGATAGCTGGAGACCGAAATTTCCACGGTATGGGGCATCACGCGGGAGAAACCGCAGGGTACATCTAATTATTATGTAAGTACTAGTTAAAATTTATAATATATGGCCGCTAAAGGGGCGCCGATGAGGTGCTTGCCTAGGGCGCTCTCGACATTTAATCCGCCTCTGGTAAGGACCATACAAATAAATCCAATACCTATTGCATACATGCAAATACTTATGCAATTGAAAATTGTTAAATTTTAATAAAATTAATCCAGTGGATTAATCCATAGCTATTTACAGATAAATCTAATTGATGTACTAGCTAGGTATGTAAATATTTAAAACTATTTTAATAGTAAACAACACAATAGGTAATATCATACTTAAGGTATGCATTGATTCGGTATTTATTAAAAATAGTAGTACCTAGGTGGGTACAAATATTTTACCTCTTTTTTCAGTCGCCGCGGCATCACAAAAATCAACATAGGTAGGTAATAAGTAATCTAATTTCGTAATTATTAAAAACTGTTATGATTAATTGCTTAATTATTATAATTTCTAAATACAAATTTGTAACATAATAAATTTATGATTAAATGATGAAAAAAATAAAGGATAATCCTGTGAAACCTTCAATTAATAAACAACGATAAACAATTTACAAATGCGTGTAAAGTCCTATAGGATAAAAAATGAAATTGGATGTAGGTATTAGTTGTTTTACAAATGTAGTAAAATATAGTAAAACCGTTGATCAATGGTAAAACTTACCATAATTGTCTGCGGTCTCCACTAAACCCAGGAGGTATTAAATTATGATTAATTGCGACAATTTGTTGCTTAAAGTAGTCATTAATATTAAATTTGAATTCCATGATCACAATTTACACTTTGGTTTCTTTTTTTTAACAGAGAGTTGAATCGACGTACCTACGATTCTTAACAAAACATTCTTCTCGAACAGTTTTTATTCCGTAAGGTAACAGTTTGACATTAGAAACACGATTCTACACCTTGAAATCATTAGGCATGACAGACAGCGAAAAACCCATCCCGTTAAGCCTTTACATGGTTGCCGAGTTGAACCCAATTTCGCTAAGCTCTGCAAAATGTCGTATGTCAAAAGTCTCAGAACAAATTGTTTAGAATACCTACTAGGTATTCTACTAGGTATAGGTGGGTATTTTTTTTATTTCTTTATGATTTTAGGTTTTGTATGAACAAAAACAAAATTATTGCTAAAACATAAATAAACAGCATTTTATTGTCTCCATAATATGAAAATAGTAAAATGTTATTCAATTAAATAGGTGGGTTAAATATTTATATCCTAAAATAGGGTAAAATTAAATTAAAAGTTTTAGAAATATTAGCTCCCTATTAGCTATTGTCATTTTTTTTGGGTGACTTTTGTGACTAAAGACTGACGCAATTTAAGCAATAATTGTTGATTTTTTCATTTTCTTTATTTAATTTATAATATTTGCACGTGCCATAAAGTATTTAGGGTATACTTTCTTAAGTTACTTAATGACATTTTTTATGCAATTGCATAAAAAATTAAGGGTCTACACAGGTATACCGGCATGTAAAATTTCTAAGACTTAAATATATTTTTTACTATAATAATAATATTAATAATAATCAACCATTTAATAATATTAATAATAATCAACCATTTCAAGCTCATCTCTTTTATATGGTTTGTTTCCATTACTACCTATTTTATTTTAACTACCTAGATCCACAGGGATGTGCATTTTATAATAATATTACGTTATCACATATTATAAAGGTTGGACGGGTTCTTTGGGTTGGACGTTATCAATTCCAAATGTCAAAAACCGGTTTGTCGACATACGTCCAGCATACATTTCAAATACGTCGCGGCGACTATACAGAGAAAACAGCAAATTGTAATGTCTGTGCTCGGTTACCAAATTGGCGAGGCAACGGAAAACATTCGCCGCGGCGACTATATATGACACCATGATAACTGGATGGCATATCAAAATTAGAAAAACATTGATTTAATGCCCAGTAAATTTTTTGGTAAAAATTAACTTTTTTTGGAAAAAATCCCTAACTGAAATTTGACAACCCCGCATTTAAAAGGAAAGCTGCGCAAAACCTGACTCATCGGCGCCATGCAATATGCAACCCAGTTAACGCGATATATTTGACATTTGCCAGTTGTAAACACATGTTATATTTCTGTCAAATGTCACGTTTTCAAAATAATTTTCTGTAAGCTATTTACAGATTTAAAGTGTCTATATACAGTATAGGAATTTTGCGATTTATAATATGAAATTTACAGTGCAGAACGTGTCAAAACTACGGCCCCGCATTGGAACTTTGAGTAATTTTGGCGAAAGGAAGAATGGTACACTTGAAACCCCCATGTTGTTGCTACATTCTCAGGTTAGTTTTATAATAACAAAATGGAAAAAAGTGCAAAAATAAATCTGTATAATTTATTTGTGTTTAGTGTAGTTTGTATTGGACTGTGAGTCATTCCAAAGTGATGGTGTCCCACCCTTCACTCTTTTTTTGGGTTGATCTTTGAAATTATCATTACTTATAGCATTATTAAAATATTTAGGAATGCAGTGATAATCACAGATCATAAAAGTTATTATTAATTTAGGTATATATAAGAAATTTTGGCCATTCACTGACTGGCAGGTGGGACAAAGAATGTCACTTTGGAATGACCCATTTGTTGTTATAGGCAAAATCAAGATGTATTAAATTTTGTCATTTAGATAAATCTAATTTAGTTTTTTTAATTTTTCTTTTTCTTGTGTATTATTTAAAGATTTTCTTTGCTTTGTATGTCCTAAAAATATGATTATTTACTTAGGGAGGGCAAATTCCACATATAACCCATGAAGTTTTTAAATTAATCAGTAAAGATGCCCACATATTACAAATACCTCTGACGAGCATGCATAATTTCCAAGAGACTTTGGAACAATACAATGGTACAATAACAGATTTTATAGGCAGTAAGGAAAGCTTATCGTGCATAACATTCCATGATCCAAGTAACATAACACGTCAGGGGCACCATGCCAAAAACAAAGTACCTTTATGGACCAAAAATGGGATAGTTTACTATGATGCTCCTATGTACTGCAAAGTGCTTGAATCATACAAACCAGACATGTACTTTTTTATTTCGGATGGAGACACAAACAAAGGTAGTCAGCAGAAAAGAATTCAAAAGGCTGTGGATACAACAATACATTTTTATAAGGATTGTTTGGAGGGGCACAAGAAGTCAGCTATTTTAAAGAATTCTTTTGCCATGGCTTCTATAGCTGGTGGTTATTGTCTTAAGTCAAGGGAAAAGTGTATGGATGTTATGCTGAAAGACTCTGAAATTGGGGGCTATGTTATTGATGGTTTACACAATAATGGGCCTGAAATTGAGTTTATTCCCTTTGATGAAGTTAAATCAGTTGCAGAGTTTGTTATGGTAAGAATAATTATTTACAAAACAAATCATTTAAAATAAAATGTATTTTTAGAGTAAAATCCCTGAGAATAAACTAATGTGTGTTCAAGGTTGTTGGAACCCTGTAAATATAGTGAAATTTATACAATTAGGTGTGGATCTTTTTGACACATCCTACTGTAGAATTGTTACCGAAAGATCATCAGCCTTAACCTTTTCTGTGGATCTACAGGGGGAATTAGAAGAGTATGAAATTAATTTAAGGGAGCACAAGTAAGAAAAGCATTAATTACATAGGGCCCAAATTTTCACTAAAAATGTTTAATTAACAAAATGCCAATATACACCTCTCTACTTTTTGTTTAATTTTCTTGGTTTAAATATTTTAATTTTGTAGTTTTTAATGGTCTTAAAAATACTAGTAAGTAAGAAATTCCATAATTTGCGTTAAAATTTTATAAGAAATACAACTTGCCCAAAATTTAAAGAGGTGTAAATTTTCACAAAAAAACAACTTAAAAATAATATAAATCTTTGCCAAAAGAGAAAATATGTATATTTTCAAAAAAAAAATTAGTTACATATATGTAGAAATATAATATAGAAACATATATGTTATAGTATACTCAATGTATAAAATTAAAAATGGTTCAGATATCCTTTTTTTAATTTATACATATTACAAAAAAATATATAAATTATTTAGATACACATTTTATCAAAATAAATCATTTAAATAAATAAATTCAAATCAAAAAGTTGGGCTTTGATGGATCTTGTTTGAAGGTTGTAGACAATGAAGTTTGATGAATGAAAGAAAGGTTTTGGACTGTATTTTTAATCACAACGCTGGGGAGTATATCTAGTGGTCTTCAGGTGCACCCAGCTCAAATATAAATAGACCTGTAGCTACTAAACTCTTTCAGTATTCACCTGAAGACTCTCCAGTCAAAACGTCTTGATTAAAAATGCCAGGTAAGGCAATGGAAGTCCAAAACCTTTCTTTCATTCAAGATCTTATTATGTTATGGTATTTTTAGATATGCAGATGATTTTCAACCAATACATAATACTTGCAGTTGCTTTACTTGTAAAAACTATTCCAGGGGTTACATTCATCATTTACTAACTGTTCAAGAATTATTAGGACCAATTCTCATTATGATGTAAGAAAATTTAATTATAAAAAATGTTGTAATTTAACTTTTTTTTTCTAGTCATAATATACACCACTACTTAAATTTCTTTGATACAATCAGACAATGTATAAAAGAAAACACTCTAAATGAATTAGAATTTATTTTAATAAAACAGTTTAAAAATTATGAAGACAGCAGGAAAAAGAATACTGCAGAAATTAGTACTTTCAGTGAGGGTTAAAATAATCATGTTTTACTATTTTACAAGTATTTTATTACTGATATTTTTATACAATTTACTATTAAAAATATATCTTTAAGGAATTTGTTTTCTTTCATTAAATAATAACCCAAGTTTATAAAATTGTTTATTGTTTATAAAAAATAAATATTGGTCCAATTTGATTTAAAGCACCTGATTTTTGCAAGTACAAATTTATGTAGGTATATATAAAAACTATATATTATAATAAATAAATCAACTATTTCTTATAATATCAATAAGGCAGAGTATCACTGAAGGAGTTTTGTTAAGTTCTCATAATCTTTCTGACATTTTTGGCATTTCATTGTAGAATTCCTAGAAATAACCACTTTTAATAAAAGTATTTTTAAATATAACAAGAATAAAACCTAATAATTTTTTTGAGGTGTTCATTTTCTAATACTGTCGAATGTAAGTTATCTTGTAATGCATCAATTGCAGAGTCCTTTTCCATGATTTGCTGTTTCAAGTCATTAATTGTTTCTTCCAAGGCTTCCAAAACTATCTAAAAGAAAATATTTTAATTAAATTAAATCACTTCAGAGATTGTTATGCTCCACATCACTTAACATAAAAAGTGAATTACTTACTCTTGACTCATCATTAGTATCTGCATAAACTGGAGCTTCATTAAGGCAAAAAAAATCTTGTACATCCTGGGAAGTCAGCAAGTCTGGTATATTTAGGATTGCATTAACTAACGTTTGCAAATCATTTACCCTTTCATCCAGGAAAAGGGAGTCATAGTTGTTTTTAAACCATCTTTTTCTTGGAAGATATTGCACTACATTTGGATATGAGTTTTTTAATTTGTTACACAATCTTACAAAGTCTGTATATCTTCGAAACACATACCAAAAACCACCTGTATCAACATTTTCTACTTTAATTTTGTAAACCTAAAATAACTAATTACAGGGTAGTTTTTAAATTGTAATGTAACATACAGTAAATTTAGGCCTTTCTTCCATTATTTCATACCCTACAATTGGCATACGAAAGTTTGAACTTTCAGAATCCAAGGTTCGATTGTCCTCCATAATCGACATATTTTGTGCCATATTAGTAATCCTGTATATCATACTGCTATAACACAAAAATAAATTACACTTATAAACACAGAACTGTGTTAACTTTAAAAATATTTATACTTTTCAGATACTTGATCCTCTGAAATAGTTGTAGTTCCATCCTCTGAAGCCACTTTGCTACACACAGATTCCTGATCATTATTGCTAACACTGGAAAGATTTTCTGTACGGTCTCCCATTCTTCATTCCAATAAATTTTTAAATAATACAATCTGTTTAGCAGAAAGTTTTATAAACAAAGCAGAATAGATTTTTTGAAACGTAGAATTGTAAGGTTAGACTTGTGACAGTGAGCGGTTAACTGGGTTGCATAATTAACAGGCGTTTCCAAATACCAGGTTTTATAAGCACGAAGAAAATTTCTTTTTTCTACTCCCACCTTTAAAACGCCCTTTATCGTACATATGTTTCCATGACACTAACTGACCTTTTAAATACACATTGACAAGTTGTGGCTTTACGGCGCTTTAATCACGGGCTGAAGTTAGCAACAGGTTTTTAGTCACGGGCTGAAGTTAGTTTTAAGTTATGGGCCGTCCATAAATGATGTCACACACTTAGGGGGGAGGGGGGGGGGTCGTCGAAAATGTGACAGTTTGTGACAGCCGGGGGTGAGGGGGTTTGGTAGGTTGTGATGTCACTAAATTATAAAAATATTTTGGAATTTAATAATTAATAATGGTTATAAACTGGATAATAAGATTTTATTTTAAGCAAAAATTTCTTGGGGTAGACCTTACATAAAAATTAAATCAGTGTGACGTGACGCCAATGGGAGGGGGGGAGGGGGGAGGGGGAGGGTCCCATAATTTGTGACACTTTGTGACAAGTGGGGGAGGGGGGGTCAAAAATATTAAAAAAACGTGTGACATCATTTATGGACGGCCCCTTAGTTGACAGTTGCCAAATGTCATACAATCGTTAAAATAAAGTGCCTTTCTTGTAAAATAATACTAAATGTGAAAATTATTTTATTATCTCAATACAAAAATACAAAAATATTAAATAGTTTATCAACGCCAATATTTGAAAAGTTTATATGAACATTAGGGTGAGCCAAAAAAACTAACCTATCCGATTTATGGGTTAAAATGAACCTACATACCGAGCAAAAAATTTCCCTGCAAGGCAAAATTTTTTGCTCAATTTTAAAAGGTGTCGGTGAGCATTCTAAGTTTTCCATTGAAATAACACGTAAAAAAATCTTTTTTCATTAAAAAGACTATAACTTTTGAACCGTTTGAGATAAAATTTTTTACGTCACGGATTCTTGTAGAGCATAAAATTTCCCAAAGAATCTATACCAGGATTATTTTTTTTAATTCAAAAATTCGATTCACTTTTCAAAGGTTTCAAACATCGAATTTTTGAATTAAAAAAAATAATCCTGGTATAGATTCTTTGGGAAATTTTATGCTCTACAAGAATCCGCGACGTAAAAAATTTTATCTCAAACGGTTCAAAAGTTATAGTCTTTTTAATGAAAAAAGATTTTTTTACGTGTTATTTCAATGGAAAACTTAGAATGCTCACCGACACCTTTTAAAATTGAGCAAAAAATTTTGCCTTGCAGGGAAATTTTTTGCTCGGTATGTAGGTTCATTTTAACCCATAAATCCGATAGGTTAGTTTTTTTGGCTCACCCTAATGAACATTGTAGGTACTGACTTTTTAATTTCGCCGGCAGTAAACTATAACTTAAATTCTGGCACGGACTCTACTGCAAAGTCCTCAAAATATTTCCTTTACTTTCACTGTGAAAAACTGTCAATTTTCAAGATATATTTCGATTTATTATAACCTTTATAATTGTGTTTATAAAATGTAAAAATGTGACATTTGACAGTTTCTCCTGTTGTTTCATAGATGGCGCTCTATACAAATTTTTGATTTAAATCATTTTAAGATAATATTATTAAATAAGTATTTGTCGTAGAAAAAGTATGGTATGCACCTCGTTTATAAACTTTTCTATACACTCATTAAGTTAAGCACTCGCTCGCAAGCTCGCTCGTGCCGAAACTAAATTCGTGTATAAAATGGCGTTTATCAAATTTGATACATAATATACTATTATCTACTCCACCATTGATAGGCTGTGACTTTATGGCGTTTTAGTCACGGGATGAAGTTAGCAACAGTGGCTTTTGGTCATTTTAGTCACGGGTTGAAGTTAGCTTTAATTTTAATTGGGAAAAAGTGAGGTTAAATCCGTTGACAGTTGACGGATGTCAAATGTTTAACAAATAAAATTGGCTTTAAAATCTTATTTATGTTCGTCGTAGATAAAGTTTAGTATGCAACTCGTTTTATAAACTTCTTTAGACACTCGTTTTTATTAAAAACTCGCTTGCAAGCTTCGCTCGTTCTTAATTAATAAACTCGTAACTAAAATGGCGTTTACAAAACTTGATACATAATATACTATTTTCTACTCCCACCTTTAAAGCGCCCATTATCGTACATGTTTCCATCACACTGACCTTTTAATACACATTGCCAAGTTGTGGCTTTATGGCGTTTTAGTCACGTGTTGAAGTTAGCTTTAAGTTAGTTTACAGTTGTCAAATGTCACAATCGGTAAAACAAAGTTCCCCTATTGTGAAATTATAATATTACTGACTTTTTAATTTCACCGGCAGTAAACTAGATATAACTTAAATTCGGGCTGATAATCCATTTTCAAGAGATACGTACATTTCGATTTATAAGTTATAACACATACAAATTTGACATTTGACGGTAAAACAGATTTCCCTATTGTTTTATAGATGTCGCTCTATACAAATATTTAGTTTAAATACTTTTTAAATAATAATTCGTATTTGTCGTTAAAAAAGTATAGTATGTAACTCGTTTATAAACTTTTCTAGACACTAACTAATTTAATACAATATTTTCTACTCCCACCCTTAAACGCCCATTATCGTACGTGTTTCCATCACACAAAGTGACCTTTGAAAAACACATTGACAAGTTGTGGCTTTAAGGCGTTTTAGTCACGGGCTGAAGTTGGCCACAGGTTTTTAGTCGCGGGCTGAAGTTAGCTTTATGTTAGTTGACAGTTGTCAAATGTCATACAATCGTTAAAATAAAGTGCCCTTCTTGTAAAATAATACTTAATGTGAAAATTATTATCTCAATACAAAAATAAAAAAGCAATAAATAGTTTCTCAACGCCAATATTTGAAAAGTTTATATGAACATTGTAAGTACCTACTAACCTTTTAATTTTGCCGGCAGTAAACTAGATATAACTTCATACAAAGTCAAATATACCCAGATAACAACCGTGAGGGGCATCAAAACGCACATCGCCTTCAGGTCGTGCGGAATCATGCGTGACGGTAAAAACGCTGCGATATGACATTTATTTTATGATTAATGGGAATACAGTGTATTCAATACACGCACGTGATTGGTATATGAGGGCATAAAATGATTGCAAACTTTTCACTTTTGCTAAATAGTTATCGCAAAATTGTAGATGTAATACCTACTAGATTAAGGAAATGCCAGAGTACACTCTGGCATTGCGTAAATCTACACTGAGAAAAAATGGGACAAATAAACTGTGTAGCTAATACTTTTTATTAATAGTGAATATATTGTTTATTACCTCTAAATAGTCGATAATAACGATAAATTTACTTTAGTAAAACTTGTGTCAGGAATAAAAATATATTTTAATAAACAATGCTTCTGTCCCATATTTAATTATTCTTTTTATTTGGGAACCTTTTTTCTCGCCATAAAATCACAGCTTGTCAGTGTAGGAGTAGATAATAGTATATTATTTATCAAGTTTTATGAACGCCATTATAGTTACGAGTTTTATTAGGCTCGAGCGAAGCTTGTGAGCGAGTATTTAATGAAAACGAGTGTCTAAAGAAGTTTGTAAAACGAGTTGCATACCATACTTTATCTACGACGACCACAAAAAAGAATTTAAAGCCAATTTTATTTGTTACACATTTGACATCTGTCAAATGTCAACGGATTTAACCTTACTTTTCCCCAACTTATAATAAAGCTAACTTCAGCCCGTGACTAAAATGCCCAAAAGCCACTATTGCTAACTTCACCCCGTGACTAAAACGCCATAAAGTCACAGCTCGTCAATGTAGGAGTAGATAAAAGAAGTTTAATATAACCACAAGAAGTTTAATATAAGCACAGTTCCTGGAATGTTGCAATTTATAACTAACTTTTTTAATTATCCACTTCATCAAATTCGGTATTCATGGTTATCCACTTATTTTCATCATCGTGATCACTTCCATAATAACTGCAGCTATCATTGTCATCATTTTCTTGGGTACCGGTAGCCATGCCGTTCTGTGCCTCATCAAATTTTAAAGAATTTTTACTGCCATCTCGAGCCCCCGGAAAACCATTTGGCATTTTATTCTCAAGATCTATTACATACATGATAATTATCATTATAATCTATTATTGTATAGGTACCTAAAGGATCAATATTCAGTAATAATCATAGATCATACCCCTTGTATGATCTATGGTAATAATAAATTATATCAACTTACCATTATTCAAATTACGATATAAAAAAATTTACTCTGTCACTCACTATGTTTTAATTGGTTCATTCTTCTATCTGTGTTTTCAAACCATCAGTTGTTTGGATTTTTAGTTTTCATTATTTTTTTTCACATCGTAATATAATTATTAATAAAATTATTATAATTATGATCAAAATATGTATGCAGCCATTAAAGCAATTGCAATGGCTGCATGAATCAATGAATTAAAGAATGATGTCAAAATGGCCTAGCAAAATAATGACAAAATTACATATCATACTGATGCCATTTTGCCATTTAGTAGCGGATATTAAAATAATTATATCTAACTGATGTCATAATGACATATCATACTTATATCAGAATTTCATATCATACTGATGTTATTTAAACATAAAATAAATGTAACTTTAACATTTGGCAACGGATATTAAAATAATGATATTTAACTGATGTCATAACGACATATACTATTGTAAGAATAAAATATCATAGTGATGTTATTTTTACATACAATTAATGTCATTTTAACATTTAATATGGGATGTATGCAATTATGTCATTTATCACTTTCCTTACTTATATATCCGAAAATGTTTGAGTGCCCTGTCAATTTGGGCAGAAATGGAAGCCATAATTGAGAAAACTTGTCGAAGCAGGTCCGACTGTAAGAGTGCTAGTACAAAATAATACAACAAAATTTCAACCCTATAAAGACTTTCGCAAAATTGGTCGATTGTTTATATTTATTTAAATTCA